ATGAGGCAGACATAAATAAACAAGGTTTATAAATTTCGATTAAACACGAAAGATGTCCCTATATGCCTGCAATCTTTCTTTCTTATATCGGTATAATGTTTGAGGGTTTTTTTTCATAGCGTTTATTAATTTTAAACACTATTTAATTAGTAAAGATCTTTTTAGAAGTAGAAGAAGGACAACACAGCAATGGATGTAAAATCAAGAATTAGTATTACTGAGTCTGTACATGACCTGTACATATTCATTCAACTTAGGTAAGGCCGGCACCCCAGCACCGGCTACATCTGTTTCCAATCAAAATACAAACAAAAAGTGAATAGTTTTTATATATGTCGACATAGGTTTATATTTAGGCTTAATTTCTGTCCGCTATCACAACAAATGTCTACCTTCGAAAACTTTTGCGAGGGTGGCATGGTTGGTAGACCATTTTAGTTTATAAAAAAACTAATTTCCAAATATCATACCTTAATGATTTTATATTTGTTGAAGTGTAAAATTGTAAAAAAAAATATGTGATGTTAATACTGTTTTGTACAATAGTATGTTGACATAATTATACGTTTTATTAACACACAACACGGCATATTATGCAAGCATAATTCCACGACACCCAAGTCTTTGCTGTGCCACAAAAATTCATTTATGATAACTAATGAAAACATTAATATTCTAAATGTGGAATACATTATAATCATATAAGTGTACATGATAAGATACTAGGAAGCAGGAAAGAACTTCGTTACCTTTTAATTATTTTAGTACTTTACATAACGTAAGATATACAAGGTAAATATGCTGGCGTTTGTTGTCGATCCACAATTTATTTAGTTTATACGAAATTTTGTAACGCTCGGTTTTAGTGTCTACAATTTGTGATCTGCAATTTTTTTTATAAACGACATTTCAAACGTGTACAAAATACCAAAATACCGACTAAAAGGCCTTTAAACAAATGATTTAACATTTTACGTTGGCTATTTCATTTAAAATGATCACTATTTGTGTCCTTTCTTCTTTGTCCGTTTAATTTCATGAAGGTAATGTTCCAATTCAGTATTTCTAAAGGTTAACCATATAGCTATACAAAAAAAGATAAATTTCTGTAAATGTTAATTTCAGTTTAAATGCTTCATTGTACTATATCAATTTTTGATTTTATCTTAAATCATTCAAAGCGGTCGTAGCTTAACTAATTGGCTCTTTATTGAAATAGCTTAAATTAATCGAGTCATAATTCCTCGATTTTGTACAAAATATTTTAACCAAACGTATTACGTTATTCATGTGACCCATGTGTGGCAGTCTTCAATCGTATAAACGATAAACAAAAATAGTTAACTTTGATTATTTTAATGGAATAGTTTCTATCCGAGTTAGCAAATGATCTTTGCGCTGTTTTGATTGAGTCACTGTGTTCGACGAATATTAAAATTAAAATATTGACCTTTAAAGAATCAGTTTTAAAGTGAAAGATGTTTTTTTGTTGTTGTTATTTATTTTGCGAGGCATGTTTCAGTATTGTTTTACAATTACCTATGTTCTAGATCTACCGGTATTTTTTCTACACGATTGTTGAGCAGAGAAAAGGACTGGAACCCCGCCCCCACAAAAAGGGGGGAAAAAGAATACAAATGAGCCGCGTCACGACATAACCAACATAGTGCGTTTGCAACCAGCATGGATTCGCGCAGTCTGATCAGGATCCATGCTGTTCGCATACCAACCCTATTACAAGTAGAGAAACTGATAGCGAACAGCATGGATGCTGATGCGCAGGCTGGTCTGGATCCATGTTGGTCGCAAACCCATTATGTTCGTTTTGTCATGGCACGGCTCAAATTATAATATTGCACACTGTGCGAAAATGTTATAATATACAGTAGAGATATGAGTCAAACGTGATTTTTGATATATATCACTGCAGATTATATCACAATTTTGTCGTACACATGTACAATTTATATACCCTTTGATTGATGTATTAAACTTAGTCACATGATATCATTTAATTCTTCAACACACAGGTTACCTATAAAGTAGAAAAAGTAAAGAGACGAAAACTTTACTGGGCCTATAAATTCGACTTTAAGTTTTGTTGAAATTTTATCAGCGTTAAGTGAATTGCCGGCACTGTTTGTTTAAAGTATTCAAGGACATGTCGGTATTCCATTGAGAAACCACTAGCGTCTATCAAATGCTCCCAATATACATTTATCAATGAATAAATTTTATGGTAACCTAAAAATGTCAGGATAAATGAACAAATTAAATACATTTACAAAGAATTAACAAATAAACCCTCATACAAGATTCGAAAGAAAGTGTCCTTTAGTATAACATTATAACCATCGTTTGATAATTTATATCTATACCTCAAGTTTTTACACTGGAATCATAGTCTGACATTTGTAAATTTTGAGCAAACATAAACAAACAATTGGTCATATATACCACTTAAAGTTGGCATATGGCGGCGGTGTCCCTACTGCAGCTACGCAAGGATTATGTACATAAACATATCTATACGCTGCAGAAAATATCGCGTGTTTTAGGTATAAATATACTGTTTGATTTCCTTTCTATATGTTTTGCTGTAGAACAAAATGCCTTATAAAATATGTGCTTGGTTTTATGTTAGATAGAAATTTGACAGTATACAGGTAATTTCAAACAGTGATATCTTTATAAACATTTTAATACGATCAATGCAGTAATGTAATTTAAAATTGCGACATTTAAAACCCAGCCATCTTAATCCTAATGCATTCATCAGAATACGTACAGTTATAATCCCTGTGCAATCAAACTCTAACTTGCTGCTTTAAAAAATGGACAATAAGTTTTGTACTAGATATTGGGCTAGCGATTATATCAATTGCGCTGACCTGGCAAAAATGGCGCGATTTTCTGTTAAATTTCCGCTTCTTTAAACATATTGCTAACTTTTAACAGAGTCTGTAACAGTCTGAATTAATCTTAATTAGGTGTGCTAGTAAGGCATCTACTTTATTTACAGAAAATCATTCATACAACAATTTTCCTCATTTCATTGCCAAATATCCCATGCACGAAGTGGAATTTTCTATCATTTTATTTTAGTTTGATTTTTCCATTGTACTTTATTTTCGTTATAAAATATTCATTTCGGAATTTAGTTTGAGCTGTGCACGTGTCTGTACTAAGGATCGGTCTTCCGTCACTAGTAACCTTTAGTTTAGTTTATTTTTGTTCTCAATCTTCTGACATAACACTGCACTGTGGACCCTTTACACACATTATATCGCCTAACTTCAAATCAGTCTAATATTCAATTTATGTGTCCCATATTTCGTATATTTATTTTAAAACATCATAATTAACTAAACCTGATTTAGAGAATAAAATTTGATCTCTTTAGATAAGACTTTACCGGCAAGTCCTTGAAACGAGGCCGATAAGAGCGACAAGAGCAGGTAGATCGTAACAACCTGTATTGGTTATTGTCAACGCATACAGTCTACTGTCAGTACAAGCGAAATGCACGTATTTAACGCGTCGTAATATCGCTCTTATCAGAAATGAGTCACACAGTTGTTAACCGGTGTACGAGGGCCGTTCAATAAATGTAACAATTATGATTAAACCATGATTTTGCCTTAGATAAAAGGACAGGCGTGAGATCATAGGGGTGCAACCGGCTACGTGCGTCTTCATCCTTAATTCTCCTTGCTTTCCAACCATAACCGGAAATCCTTGAACCGCCCTTGCAAAGGAACAATTCTCAGCATTGCGATTTTTAATATTTGCATATATTTGTGTGAAAGATGTCTTACGTTTGTAATAAACAAACATAAAGAATGAAGTACATGTAATTTGCAAGGATTGTTTGAATCAGTTGATCATATGCTGAATAAACCGAAATATATCGTAAACGTTCAAATTAAACCTGGATTTATAAACTTTTTATAAACAAGACGTATTTTAACCAATTACAAACCAGTTGACAACCCTAAATGAATAGACAAAACATGCACTCTAGCCTACCTTAACTGCATTATACGATTCACAGATTCGCTATCTGAAGTGAAAAAGAACATGTTTATAATAACTTTATATGATGGGAAATACTTATCAACCCCCTTTTTACAACCGATGAATAATTATTTAACATTTCTGTTTTCAGTCAATGGCTAACATTAAGTTCGTGTGTTGCAAGATAATGTATTGTATGGAAAATATAAATTCTTTGATCTTACCATAATCATTTATCACATTTACAAAGTTGCCATTCATAAGTAAACACACACAATTTGAATGTGAACTACTAACGTGAAAAATCTGACAAATGACCTTGACCTTTTTTTCCTTTTAATATATCCTTGAATAGCTAACTACCAAAATGTTTGAATTAGAATTACAAGTTTATTTGATTAAGAGCTAATTACCGTGACATCACGCTACGATGCGTTTAATGACAATATTGCAATTCTAACTGATGAACTAAAAGATGAGCAATGTGTGAATATGAGGAGTTTGAATTTCATTCATGTAGAACACAAACACGTTGATACAGATACATCAATTGCTGAACTTTTACTACTGACTTAAATGGCAGAACATTCAAATCTTGTGAACCCTATTTCAAAAACATGTTAAATAATAGAATTTTCAATAGCGACTAATCAATTACGTCTGGAAAGCAATTCCTTATAGAATATGGTATTAACAAAGAAATATGTATGTAACACTATAAGGATGATAGCTGTACAACATATCCCTCAAATATGTCTTTTAGTTTTGATACTAGAAATCAAATGTAATCATTTGTTGACCTGATTGCTCTTTGCCATGAATTTACGGTATTAAAAGAAACACATGCTACAACATAAGAACAAATTAGACCAAACTCAGAATGTCAATTCTATAATTCTTGGACAGTTTGCAGTTTTCAATGTGTAATAAATCAGACCTAACAGTTGATTATATTTAACGATATATATTTTGTCTGATTTCAGATGAGGTACAGCTAGGCTGTAAGGAGCTGAGAGCAAAACGATTTATCTCAGACGGCTTTTGTACGTCTTTGAAACCATTGAAGGAAGTTGTTTGTGCTGGGCAGTGCATGCCTATCAAAGAACAAAATATGCCATGGTGGGCAGAATTTACCAAATATTGGGCAAAACCAAAGTTTATGGAGTGGAGGTGTGTTGAGGCTGTAACTAAATTAAAGAAAGTGCAATTAATGTGTGAAAATGGCGAAACTAGAACATATAAAATTAGAGTAGTAAAATCTTGTAGATGTAAAAGTTACGAAAAAGGAACAAACGTAACTGACCTTAAAGACGAATCCTCCCAAAGAGGAAAACGAGATAAGCATGAAACCAAACGTAAACGCAAAGCACGGAAAGAACAAAAACGTGCAGAAAGACGGAGGAAACGATTGGAACGTAAACGAGCAAAGCAGCAAGAGCGGCAAAGACTTGGTTCGTCATCGCGCCAGTCGCGGAGGCACAAACATTCAGGTGACAAGGATACTCGGCGGGAAAAGCGCCGGCATAGCGGTGGTGTTGACACTGTTTCAGACTCTAAGGAAGGAAATTCACAACTTTTAAAAAATAATGAATCGCCAACAGTGTAAAAGTATAATATGATGGTAGGAATAAATTGCGAGAAGTTTTCAATACAAATTTAACAAAACAGGTGTGTTACAAAGACATATGTGTCCCAAAGAAAAAGATGCCTGCTAAGTATTCGAAAAAGGATTATACGGATTATATGGTGTAGTGGCCAAGACGTAATTTATTGAGTGCTTAAGTGTAAGCATAAACTTCTATTTAATTAATAGTACCTGATTGTGCACTGTCTCCCTAGTGTCACAAGTGTGCCAGTGGTATCCATGGAATGTTTGAGGACCATATCGTACAATAAAAAGAAAAATTGGAGAAATGTGAAGGATTAAAACTGGGATATTTTTTACTTAACTTTCAATGGGGAATGCGAAAGTTGTACACACAATTGAAATGCATTAATAGACCATTGTTGATCCTTTTAAGATGATATTCCTTTAACTGGAATTCATTTGAATTTTCAATATTGACAAGAGCTGAAAGAGACTGTTTTAATTATATATTCAATTTTGTTAAAATACAACATTTACCCCATTTGTACTTAAATATTCATCATCACATGTTAGTCTTTGTGTAAGTAAATTTATTTTAAGTATTTCGATTAATAAAATCTACTTCAGTTTCTGTTAAACATTGCATCAGTGTTCAGTACAGTATATAGACCATGCCAATTTGTAATCATGTACCATATTGTCAACTTTAACTTTTATTCATTCGTAGATCTGGATTCTTTTTCATGTGATTAAGCTATCCAGCTAGCTAACGGAGTGTCGGTTGTTCTACTCTGGTGCATGGGAGGGCACCCGAGGTCTTCCTCTACCAGTAAAGCTGGAATGTCGCCATATGACTTTTACTGTGTTGTTGCGACGTAACACCCAACCAAATAAACCTGGATTCCATTTTATTGCTGCATTTAAAACTTTTTTGTTTTCATTTCATTGTTCTGAATACTTTTGCTTGGCTCTTGGTGCTAAAGTGCCACAAGTTTGATGTCTTCGAATTCCGAAAAGTCTTAAGATCTATCATAGAAAATATTTGTACGAATAATTGTTATCCATTTTTGAATTGATATTTAAAAGTATATCAGGAAATGTGGAATAGTAACATTTATAAAGTTACAATGTTATCATGTGATATATGCATGCATATAAATGAAAGAAATAGTTTAAAAATATAATGAACGGGCAAACTTTCGTGATAATGTATAAGCAATAAGAAAATGGTTACTCAATTGAAACGGTTTGATAAAATCATACGAACAGTGTGAAAAAAATACTTAAAAGTGAACGACAGTTCTTTAGCCGTCATGATTGTAGGATAATTATTCTAACATTATTAATCTATATAAGTTTACTTTTGAAGTATACCGTGTACAAAATCATGACTGTATTCATGAAATAAGAAAATAAGAATATGTTACATATATTAGGAAATCATCTTCATTATGAAATTATTTTCAAGACAAACATTTTCAACACACTCACTAAATACCATTCATACATTCGCTACTGTAATATAGTTCTGTAAATTATAACTGTTATAAGTGATAAGTGGAACTACTTTTTCTATATACGAGTATTTCCGCACTGCTCGTGAAATACGCAAGTTATTTTATTTGTTTAATATGCGTTTTACATCAGTTGAATAGATAAATAATGCCTTACTTTCATTTTGTACATTATTTTATATTGCCACAAGTTACAGAAACTTTGAGTTTTTTCCTTGTAATGAAACAGCGAGAAATACATAAAGTCATTAACAATTTTGCTACAACTTAAAGTTTGGTGCACTTGTCTTTGATACAACGTCTTTTGTTTGGAAATGGAGAATATAGAAAAATAGGCAATTAATATGAAATTTGATCAATTTACGATGTTCATGTGGAATTTCATGATAAAACAACATGTACAACTTCATTTTGTTTTATATAAACCATGTTTAGTACAGTCAAATAGTTACAAACATGTATATAAATATATACCTTCCTTTCCATGAGACTAAATATACATGTACGATATTGTATGCTACTATTCATTTAATACATTCCATATTGTTCGATGCATCAGTTAGGCATTTGTTTTATTTCCTCCAATCATTTTTGTTATGTTTGTTTTTGTTTGCTCATGTGATACTATCAGGGCCATATATTATTTGTAAAATTGTATTTAATTTGTAAATATTCATTTATGAAAAATTAAAACTGATAATATGTATATATGCGTTTTTTATCTTGCATTTTTTCCCTTTAGAAACTGTATGTCTAAAACTATGTGAATTTTAACCACATCTGCGGATGTTTCTAAATTTAAAATTTTACCATTTCATGTTTAAATGTTAATGTCTGCTTAAGCCGGTGCTAGGGGGCGTGGACGGTAACTTTCATTTTCCATTGCCGTCTATAAATAGGCTCAATCAAACCGAGCTTGCAACATGTTCCAATTTGTCGTTTTGGGCTTTCTTTAGGGACTCTTATTTTCTCTATTTTTATTCAGGTTGCAAAATGATATATATTACTGACAATGAAACCTGAATTGTTGTAATGTTTCATTAAATACAGACATAATTTTATGTCAGTTTACAAAATATTTATTTATACTTAAGCCTGAACGAACAGATTCAGCAGTGACTAGAAATAACGAATCTGATATGATGTACTGCTTATAGGAACTTAAGTAAGTTCATTAAACCACATAGTTCGAGTACATGCATTTTAATCTAATAGAATTTGGAAACAAAATAAGCTTATAAAATGTTGCGATGAAAATTGATACAAAATTGATTCCTATGATAGTTTCTATATGAAATCAAGTTAAATGTTATAAAGATGTACGTGGAAATGAAGAACCTTGATAAAAAGATCAATTGCATTTTTGTGTACGTAGAGCACCTTTACCAAGCAGTCAAACACTTGTTTTTTTAGGTTAACCACCTGCATTTCAGCTCCTAAACGTAATTGAATTTCCTCTATTTGCGGCTTTACTTTGATGATGTTAACCTGCAAATGCAACAAAAACTTGATATCAACATTCTGTATCACCTGGCACAAATTATGTTTTATTGTCAGATTGCGTGTGTTCGGACATAAAGACATAATTTGGATCGTACTTTAACCTTCTATGGTCTAATTTGTATACAATGCTTATCATGCACGTGCTATTTAAACACAGAAAACAAAATAGCGGATGGATTTTATCAGTTAATAAATTAAGATGAAACTTTATCTGATCTAAATTTAAAAACGCTTCAAAGGTTAGCAGATCCTATAAATGGGCCAATTTGTTATACGATGTTGTTACTTCAAACAGTATCGTTAAATCTAGCTGTCAGAACAGTTAAATGTTTACATGTAAACAATGTCGTATAATGATCTAATATATGATATCATTTAATATAACTTAAAATACTATTTGATTGATTTTAGTATTTTCACACACTACATTAAGCTATGAATAGGAGGTAGTAACGAAATGGTAAATTAGTAAATTACTAAGGCAAACTGCTTAGAAATCGTTGTGTTTCAATACTCATTACGATATGGTTATATTTCAGTCGATTACTATAACATATCATATGAAAATGCTAGTGCCTAACTCTAATTGACTGTCCTACAAATATATATAAATAGCTGGACATCCAAATTCGTGGGATGTATTAATAAATTACGAAAACATGAAATGTAATTACTTCCATTATACTCATTGTTCAATATCTTGTCATGTCACTGGTCAATATATTGTTTTACCACTGGCCAATATCTATATGTATCTATGTAGTTATGTACATGCAGTTTTTAATAAAGCATTTAAATACAATTAACATTTTGTCAGTAACAACCTCTAAGTCAAGTATAGATTTGGTTAATATATCGTTTAATATAAGCTAAAGTAAAGGTACATTGAAGCTGTCAAATCTATTTAATGCCTCGTTAATTGCCCTTTGAAGTTTAAGGTTTTATTTTTGTTAATTCGTTAACATCTAAGGTCAAAGCATCCAGTTTAAGTACAGTAATATACTTTATGTCCCACGCCCGATGTTAGCTTGTTATAAGAGGACATCAACAGTCAATGAGTAAACCTGCACCGCACAAATAAACATAACAAAACAACAAACACTTCATTTAACTTGTTTTACATATATTTACATGTTGTGAACAAGTTTACCTCTCCCACAAACATGCACTCTATGACCTCCCGTACAAAGAAGAAATTATGAATTCACACCAATACAAATTAGAAGGAATCTTAATAGAAATATTTGTAGTTTTCTTTAAATGTTACCGTTACACGTCATGGAGAACGAGATATTTAATACCTGCCAATTAATGTCTTTGTAATATTTAACCTTAGAAACTTGATCAAATGATATTGAAATATTGACATATTGTGTCATTATTGTAAAGCCATTTTTCTGTAATATAAAATACACGTAGTGATGATCACTGTCAAACTAAATAGATCTTGCCTACCATTAAGGTCCATCAAATAAATTTATAGACACGGGAATTTTATTTAAATCATTTTGAGATGACGTTTAAGATTCATTGACGTAGATAGTTTAAGTTTTATCTTGTACAATTTGGTAGGCTTCGAATTGGCGGGAAATGTCATTTATAACGTGCAACAAAACCTATATACATGTTCATAGTAGAATTTCATGTAGTTCTTGTAAATACTTCAATATGGCCGACATCCAGATGGAAATAATTTATAAATCAGCCGACCAAATCATTGATTTCTTAGAAGCAAATTGTGATGTCATATACCAAATTACGTCATATATCACGTAATATAACAATATGATTGTCACATACAGTGAACATTACATGGCTATTTATTACATTCTTATCAGTATATAGTGAGCTTATTATATATCTTTGACTTTATAACTTGCTTCGCGAATGAAACCACCGATGAATAAAGTATATGTTAGTGTTCATGTCTTCTATAAAAATTAACACACAAACTTTTTTAAGAAATACAGCGTTTTCATTGGACGACAAACAAAACTGGACACTAAGTCATACAATAAATATAACAGCCAAGCTTTACATACGTTTTTATCTTCCTATTTGATCAGAAATACTTTGTCGTAAGTTGGTTATTGAAACGATTTAAATATTATTTAAACACAAAAGTAACATCATTTTTCAAAATGTTCCAAAACTCAAGAATTCTGGAACATCTTGACGTTATGATTTGGTGACGACATAAATGAGAGAGCATGCATTTTGATATCAATATCACGTGATAATTCTGGTGCTAGAGATACATAATAAAGTAACAATATTAATAATTTGTTAACTTGTGTGATGTTTTGTGCAGAGATTAGTGAAATAACAACAACAAGCTTTTTTAAATGAAATCATGGTATTGAGGTAAGCTTTTCCCGCATTTGTTCATATCAAATTGAAATGCAGGATATTTTTTTTTATAAAATTCAATGTTTAACACAGAATCCTTTAACGACATGCAAATAATCTCGTATGCAACGAAACATTCCATTTCAGTCCTTTACATTTCCGCTTACTCCTTTACGTCTTTAATGTCCTCATTCAAATTCAAGCGTCGATAGCTATATGAAGGTAGCCTGTTTATTTGGAAGTTTGCCATGGCATAGAGCCATGATCCAACAATAAACTAGTGTTTTCGCTTATATTCTACCATATTGAACTTATTCAGCAATATGTCATGTGACAAAAATATTCACTCAGTCAAAGATTCATTCATACTAGTTTTGACAGGTGAAATATGAGCACCGGTATAATTCATGTTCAAATTATCAATTTTAATCACTTTGAACTATTTAAAGCAATAAATAGGTTTGACTATTTAAAGGGGATTCACAGACGTTTATCTAACTATGGCTCGTAAGCTGAGCAGAAAGAAAAAATAAATATCTATATTTCAATACAAACGTATTGATATATATTATAATAAAACGTTTCAACAGATAATCTGTCAATTTTTGTAGGCTATCAAATTGATTCATTATACCATGTGACTTAAATATTAGTCAATATCACATCCTAAATTACAAGATATATGGCGGATATTAATAATTAGTTTACACTCGAGCTCTTTTCTGTCCCGTAAATCAAATATTTGAACTCATTTGATAATGTATGCTTTCGAAATGGAAACAAAACTTGAACTCAAAATTTGAAATGATCATATAGTATTTAAATCATTAAACAGGATAACAATTTCAACACATATAACAAATCATCCAAGGTTTGCTACAGTTACACATGAAAGTTTAAGCTCTCCGAACAATCTACTTGGTTTCATAAATGAGGAATACTGACCGAGCCAGCTCTTTGTAACAGCTTTATGTTTTGAATTTTCAAGTATTAACATGACCAGTAGAATTTATCTGGTTGACAACAAAATGTCATGTGGAAGTTGGAAAACAATCAAATGATTTCTCTAAAATACATTATACCTCGTTAGATAACTTCTCTTAGATATAGACATGTATATGTGAAATAGTTCTATAATTGCCACAGATCATAACATATAAAATCATTTACATGAATATATAAACATTGCAAATTTTAACCATGTTTCATAAATTCAAAATGAAATCACTAAATTTAGATTACACTGTATTCGTTGTAAACTGTTAAGTACTTTTTTCATAACACTGTAACACAAAAACACTAGTGCTTGTCAATTTAACCATATCGTACCTATATCTAGGTCAGACTGTGCAGAATTGAGTGTGTTAATATTATTCTTACTTCTCTTTATTTAGTATATTTACTAGATAAACTGAAAATAAAATTATTTGATATTTTGCGAGTAAAGTTAGCTCATTGTAAAAGTACTAACTATATCTTTTTCTGGTTGATCAAATGTCTCATGTTGTCATAAACATATGTTTATACAACTACTATTGTACACAATGCCGGCTTATATTTTTTATTTCCAGTTGGCCTGTGATGTCCAATTAATGTACAAAAAATCGTACACAAACTTTCAACAGATTATATTTCCAAAACCTTTCATAGATATGTGACACAATGCTGTTTATTCTATACAATTGATATGCAGCTAACGTTGTGTAATTAAAAAGAACCGATGTTTCACTCATCATGTTTGCAATATGAAAATAAGGGAAACATAAATTAAACTCATCATTAATTAAAATCTTGGAATAATACTGCAATCAATTGAACAGTCAATGAAGTAAATAAGTTACGAAGGAGAACACTAG